TAAAATAAAAAAAAAAAAAAAATCAAAAAAAAAAAAAAAATATATATATATATATATATATATATATATATATATATATATATATATATATATATATATATATATATATATATATAATTTCATGAACAAATAGTTTATGATTTAAATCATGTAGAGGAATATTACTTTTTCTATATTTTTATGAAACAGTTGTATAACTTACTAGTTGTGTAAATCCAAACTGGTAAATATATAAGCAGTAGTACATGAGTGGTATAAAAATATTTATTAAGTGACTGAATGCAGCCAAGTTTGGGAAGATCTGGGTTTTTTTGGGGCGGGGGGCTTTTTAACCAGTAATCCATTTAGTGAGTGAATGTTTAGTAATTAAAGCGCACATTTAAAAGTGGAATGAAATGACTATGTTGTTTGAAGCTTGTTTAAAAATTGGCTAAAGACAGGTAAATTTGCAAACTGTTTTTGTGAACTTTGCTCCTGCAATCCCCACTTTCCTTCTGCTGAGCCTTTGTTCTCTAACAACGTGGCGTTGTTTCTGACAAGTTTGGTTATGTCTACTTTGACTGGAACGCATCCACTTAACTTGTATCCCACTGGCATATGTGTAAGTAGTCCGATGAGAAGCCCTCATTGCCCAATGCTCTGGTGTCATTTCCTCTTGAGGTTTCCAAGTTTTCACAAGCACCTTAAAGACGCAGCTGGTCACTCAGTTAAATCTGGGAGGTTTTTGGAGTTACCCAAGTTTTACCAAGTTTCATCTAATCTAAACTCATGACAGGAAGAGTCATTTCCATCCTGTCTTGATAAATTACTAGACAACTTCCAAGAAATTGAAGTACTTTTTCTTTTAAAGAATTACATTTAGAGGAAGTATTGACTTTATGTCTATAGGTTAAGCATGATGCCTCTCTGGTGCCTTTATTTGTTAGTTCCCCCCAGTCCTAACTGTTTACTTTGAGTTTGATTCCTAGTCAAACTCAAGCAGCTCGAGGAATCAGGGAGTAGCCTGTGTTAATGTTAGGAGGGGCATCTTATCAGTCTTGTGCAAGTTAGGAATCAGCCTCATGCAGGAAAGGGTGGGTATCTCTAATTGCTTCTTTGTGCTATTGATTAGTAAACAGCCATATTACCAGAACTGACAAAGCTGAAAGGATAACACACAATCAGTCGGATTAGTTGGGACCGTTTCCCTTTTATGGTTAAATGTCAACACTGGTGCTTCTTGTTTAGTTCCTTCAACTGATTGTAACAGAGATGTCGAAATAATGTAGGCAGTGTTGAATGTCGCCTGAAAATTAAACGGCTAAAAGTTGAATTAGTAATTCGTTTTGTTTTAAAATATTTGCCAAAAAGTACACGGTGATCTTTTTTTTTGTTTGTTTTTAAGAATTACTCCTGAGGTTTACTCCCTATTAGTTTTCATTCCTAAATCAGCCCTTTCTCAACTAGTTCCTGATGGATTCTCAAAGCATTACTCAGATCTTGTACTAACAGGGGTTCAGACTTCAGATTCTTCAAACATAATAATCAAAAATCAAATCTGAACTTCAGTTGAAATTGTGAGTTCCTTAAGCACGGAGCTCTGCAGAGCGTAGAGTCACACAGTGGCTGCTGCGCACTGCCAGCAAGCTGACTGAAAGTTTTTCCTCATACTTGCAGAAAAGACCAGTTTTAGACAATATTTACGGTCGTGCAACACATGGAGAGTCGAGCTGTGGAAACCAAAGGATTTCCTCCCATCACTATTGCTAAGGTGAAGCTAATTTAAAGCTACAGTTGGCAAGCTCCAAGCCACATCTCTGTCGGTCAGCTGACCCAGCCTGGCTACCTGATCAAACTAATTACGACACTCTTACTCTTTACTCTGGAAAGAACGCAGCGGCAGAAAGGTGTAAGCAATGAAACAACTACGACATTTGGCAGATTTTTTATTCTATTTTTCCGCCTAAGGCTGTTTTACCTTTTCCAAAAGTAACAAAGCTTATACACATAACATTGTTATAACTCTAACAATCAATATGTTACATTCTTGTAGCTGTGCTTGGAATAATTGTGTTTAAATAAAAGAAATAAGATCATGTTTTTCCTTTATTTTCTCTCTCTTTTTTTAATATAAATACCACATGATTATTATTTTTTTTCGTGAGATTCCTATATATCCTGCATCACAGCTTGAGTTGTTGTCCAGTTTATGAAACATTTTGGGTTTGAAGTGAGTGACGGTCGAGCTGCGGTTCTAGGTTTGACTTATTATTTTGTGGCTAACAAAATAAAGATATGACAGATCAAAAGTTGTGCCTTTAGTTATGTGTATTTAATGCAGAATAATGAAGTTCAGATTTGAAAAGTATAAATGTTGTTGTTTTTAAAAGAGCTAATTAGATATGGGTCCAGTGCTACAGAGAAACAGTGAAACATCCCTTTACTGATGAATAGGGTCCAACTGTGCGGTTTGGTGAATTTTGGAACATTAACAAAAAAAAAACAACAACAACAAAAAAAACCAAAAAAAAAAACACCAGATTGAAAAAAAAAAGTTCTTAAATGCACAGACTTAATAAAAACTTAAGCTTGAAAAGCATACAGTTCTGTTGTTTTGGTGTTTCTCCACATTAAAATTTGTACCCATTTTTTTTTCATTTTTATAAAATACATTTGGAATTAGTCTCCAAGTTTTGTGCTTTTGTTGTGGTGCCTTTAAGGCTGACATGGATGGATGCTAAACAGAATATCTACATCAAAAACACGCATTTCAGCTATTTCAGCTAGTCTAATCTTCCTCTGGTCTTATTTCTCCTCACATTGTGAGATGAGAGTCCAGAGAAGCGTGTGCCTCGTCAGGGACATCCCTCATTTGCAGTCCCAAAACCTCAACCAATCACTCAGATTGCCAAGGTGATGTGTGGCCAAGTTTCCAAAAGTCTTCATTCAGAGGAAATGTAATTGATATTTTATTGTCGACCCAAGAGGAAGGAAGCTCAGTGGAACATGCTGACAAAGACAAACTCGGCCAATCTCCTGAGCCGGCCCCGAATCTCCCTGCAAATAAAAACATTCTTTGTGCTGTCCGGATAACTCGGCGTGGTGGAGTTAAATAAAGAGCTGCCACACAGCCTCCCGATCCAGAACCTCGCTAACGCCAAGAGCACGTCCAGTCAGAGCAACTAGAGCGCGCTGCACTTGATTTAAAAACAAATAAATGAATAAATAAATCATTATTCAGGTTCTTTAACATCTTAGAAACCATACATTCAGTCACGCAATAAAACAAGGCAATCAACTAAATACTGTAGCAAAATCTAACCTAAGAAAATGTTGTAATACTAGAAGAATTTATATGAAATGATTTTATTTTCACAGACACGGATGCAGAGCCTGCAGCCGGACCCCAACGCACAATACAAGAGCGTGTATGAAGCCCTGAAACGGATCATCAAGACGGAGGGGATCTTCAGACCGCTGAGGGGCCTCAACATCACCATGATGGGAGCAGGGCCCGCGCACGCGCTCTACTTCGCCTGCTACGAGCGCGTCAAGCACTCTCTGAGTCACATCATTCAGAGCGGAGGCAACAGCCACATAGCCAACGGTACGAGCGTCCGCGTGCCCACACACACACCAGCTGCTGCACGCCGTAGACAAAGCAAACCATCCAGGAAGAGGGCAGTTCTTCTCATCAATACACAGTTTACAATAGCCGGGGTCAAACGTGCGACGCAGCCGTGAGAAATCCCATGGCGGATCTGTCATTTTAAATCTGTTTTGTTGATCAGAGGGGAACAGGCTGTGATGTTATCTGGAGCCTGGAGCTTGTGTAAATTTCTGCCTCGTGTTTTTAGGAATTCATTTTTTATTTTTTTTGTCACTGAAATAACTCGAGCAGAGTCACAGCTTCAGAGTCAACGAGGTTTGCTGATGTTTCAACAGGCGTGGCAGGGAGTGTGGCCACTGTTCTGCACGACGCCATCATGAACCCGGCTGAAGGTAAGGAAACGTCGACGCTTCAATATCGCTCTCAGTGAAGCACGGGGTGGATCAATAACGCTCCAACCACAGATCATTAGTTAAATAGTTATATGCATGCCATAAGGGGGCATGGTGACTCTGGAAGAGCTGCAAACACTAAACAGCTCAGGTGGGGAAATCTGCTAACAGGATATATTAGTCAATCACGCCACAAATGTGGAGTGTATGAAAGAGGCATAAACCGTTTATAATTCTACTTTTTACTTCCTCCTAAAATATTACTTTGTAAAAAAAAATAACATTGAAAATATAATGATGAATATGAGGAGTACACTTTTAGAAGAAAGATTTGTCCAGTATTTTAGTGGGGAAGCACACATGGGATTACCTCTTGGGAGTTTCCTTTTCCTTTTCTTTTTTTTTCAGTATCATTTTTCTTTTTGACTTGTGTATGGAAAGTTTAACAATTATAGGCAAAAATGTGTGAAATTTAACGATATTTAGAGGAAGGAAGGAATTTCCTTTAAATTCAATTCGACTCATAATAAATGTAGTCTCAAGGCACTTTAGAAAAAAAACAAATCAGTTCAATCACAGATACGTTTCAATTGATCCCAGCCTTTGAATAAATTAGTTATTCAAAGTAGATTAAAAAGTTCATGCCCAAGGAAACCCAGTAGATTGCATTGTTTCTATTGTTTTGCTCCTTGCAGCTTTCACTCCTCCTGGACTTTACAGCAGTTAAATTGGTTACATCGATTGGTTACTCTCCCCTTTACTGCCTAACATAAACTGTAACACTAACATAACTTTGCTGCCTTCCAGTGGTAAAGCAGAGGATGCAGATGTACAACTCTCCCTACCGAGGACTTTGGGACTGTGTTCGGACAGTGACGCACGCCGAAGGCGTCGGAGCCTTCTACCGCAGCTACAGCACCCAGCTGACCATGAACATCCCCTTCCAGGCGGTTCACTTCATCACCTACGAACTGATGCAGGAGCAGCTGAACCCTCACAGGCATTACAACCCGAGCAGCCACATAGTGTCGGGGGCGGCGGCGGGGGCGGTTTCGGCCGCCGTGACCACTCCGCTGGACGTTTGCAAAACGCTGCTCAACACGCAGGAGAACGTGGCGCTGAGCTCCGTGAACATCAGCGGCCACCTGTCGGGAATGGCCAACGCTTTCAGGACGGTGTACAGACTGGGAGGTCTGGCAGCCTTCTTCAAAGGCGTCCAAGCTCGGGTCATATACCAGATGCCCTCTACTGCCATCGCCTGGTCGGTGTACGAATTCTTCAAGTACTTCCTGACGAAGCAGAAGCTAGAACAAGAGGCGGCATCCGGGCAGCTGTGATGTTCGCCTCTCCGTGACTCATGAAACACTTCCAAGCCCAAAGGACGTGAGAGTCGGCGAAGAGGAAAACGGCACCAGGTCACCAGGTGGCAATGTGGCGCTTTGATTCCACTCGTCATTGTCATCTCATTACCTAGGTTTGTGTTTTTTTTATTGTTTTTTTTGTTTTGTTTTTTTAGCTACAGCGATAGCTGCACAACCACTCTATGCAAAAAAAAAAAAAAAAAAAAAAAAGGATTTATGTCAAATAGACAAATAGTGTCATATTTAACTTGCACCGTTTCGCTCTACTACCAAGTCAGTCGCAGCTCAGTTCCCTGGTGTCTCCATGTGGTGAGCACATGATGAAGTTGTGTGAAACTATGTTTATTTGTCTGAAATATTGGAACTTTTTATTTATTTGGTTAGCTTCCTCTAGCTCGGAGTTTATAGCTGCGGAGGAAAGCGCAGTGCTGTTTGTTTTGTTATGTGTTCATGAAAACTTTTTTTTCGACATTCTTTAATCCCAACACTCTGCGGGAGAGACAGCGACGTTGTATAAGTGCCTAACTAATATCAAACACTGCTCCACCCATTTTTTTTTTTTTCTTGTACTCTTATATAGGAATACTTGATTTGTTCTAGGCCCAAGATGCATTTAAACACGCACACGTCTTCCTCTGTTTCAAGGTATGTGGTGCCACAGCAAACCGATTACAGGTGAATCTCGGTAAAGCAGAATATTGTAACAGAAATGGATTTTATTTCAGGAATGCAATTCAACATTTAAATCTCATGTTTTATAGATTGTTCACAAGCAAAGTGATATGTCGGACTGATTTAATTTGCTCATTTTGATGCTTTACGGCATGCAGCTAACGGAAAACCCAAAACAAAATTCTTCAGGAAATTCAAATTTTACATAAAAGCAATAAAAAGCATTACTAATACAGCAACGTCAGTCAAAGAGAAGTATGTCCATGTAGTGTACAGTGCATGCAGACAGCGCTCGGTAGGAGCTCCTTACTGCATCGGTGCAGCGTTGCGTGAAGGTGTTTCTGCTGAAGTGTTGAAGTAGCCCGGGTTACATTCCTGCCCTCAGCTCATCTACATCGTTGGCTCTTTGAGGCCAGGTGTGGGCAGATGCCAAGACCTGCTGGATTATGTAATCTGGATTTATTGGCTCCAGGTCCACAACTAGTCAATCGCCTCTAAAATGTATGAATGGATTTAGCGTCACACTCCTCTTAAGACTGCACTGTCCCTGCTGCTTGGGCACTCCCACATTTTTTCCTTCTACTTATCTTTCCGTTAACATGCTAGGATAAAGCGCTCTGTGAATAGCCAAATGTATTTGGCTATTTTTTTTTTATGGCTTCCCCTCCTTGTGCCGGTTTCAGGACATCTGTGAACTCAGCAGTCTTTCTCCATGGTTTTGTGGGCCGTAGCTTCTTCACACAATAACAGTTTTGCATTAAAGTCATTTGATTTTTTTTACTGTTATGGAATAGTCTAACGTTCTGATTTGCTGAATGTTAGGTTTTCCTTAGCTGCAAGCCTAAATCACTTAAATTAATTAAATTAGGTTTTTAAAACTGCTTTGTGTAAAATAACAAAAAAAAAAGTCATATTTGACGACCAAATTAGCTGAGATCTACCTGCATTTGCCCTGTAAAAGCTTAATGCCGCAACGCTCCTGAGTCGCGCACAACAGAATCTTAGCCGTTACAGAACATTGGCAGCTTGTTTGTATGAAATCAGAGGATATATTTATATACAGAAATCGTCTATTCCTGAGAAACCTCTTTGGATCAGATCCGACTGTTGCTTTGGAAGACGGCAGCAGTGATTGGCTTTTGTGAGACTTGTTTCGTCATAGCAACCTTAAAGGCTTTAGACTGTCTGAATCATCCAAAAATATTTCTTATGTTCTCCTTATGCAGATTATGTGATTAAAATGTAAGCTTGTAAATGAAGTTTTTAAACTAAACAATACTGCTGCACTGGCTGATCCTCATGGGGTCAGTAAAAAAGAAACAACAAAAAAACAAACAAAAAAAAAAGTATCCGATCAAATCGTTTTATTTTCTCCCATCCTGTTGAAGTTACTCATTTCCTGTGTGCTCTATGCTTTTTTTTTTCAGCCTGTTTTCTATTTTTTGATTCAGCTTTCAGGATATTTAGCCAGATTGATGTAATTCACAGAGCGCTGTGATTTATTTGTTTATGATTACCGAGAGGTTTTCTTTTTTTTTTCTTTTTTTTTTTTTGTTCTGAAGACGTTTGTCAGATTCCAGTGTTCTCACAAACTCCACGAATCGCTTGTGTGTTCGGACAGACATAACCAAACCAAAGATGTGTGTCGCTTTTAATCTGCTGTGAACACTCATTCCATCTCTGCTGTTTAACCTCGATATAGTGTTAACGATAGTAAGGAAAACTTGAATTTATTTTTTACAGCTTCTGTTTTATAGATTGATATTTTCTGCAAGTTTCACTTTTCTCAAAGTGTTTTTTTTTATGTTTTTAGTTTGTTTTTAGTTTGCCTCAGACGATCAGATTTCAAACCAAGTTTTTTAGCTACTTGTCTTAACCTGGTTGAGCTGGTTTAGAGTATGTAACCTTCTCGTGTTGCTTTCAGTGCAATATGACTTCACAGAAACACAATAGATTTTATTACCTACAGCATAAATGCAAGTTTATATTTTTGATTATATTTGTTTTATTGTAGTAAAATCAGACCATATCTCAGATCACTGACGAAACATTTCTCCTCTTGTATCAAAATACATTTGCATTTGAAATGCATGCACTCATCGTTCAGAGTGACGAGAAATGTTTTGAGACGATGATCACTGCTAAATTAAGAGGAAACGTTTGTATTCTGTGGAGGGAAGAGTTTCACGATGTAAGTATGTTTATAGTATTTATGTAGAGCTGAGTAAAGTGGGAGATGGTCTGACTTTTGCCGAGTTCCATCTCCGGATCTGGAAGGCCTGGAGTTTTGACAATGCAAACAAAACATGATTGTGAAAATGCTGCTACAGTTTGTAACACTGGAGCTGAAATAAACACGGAGATGAGGAATGATGGCTGGCTGTGTTTTCATTACAGTCTTGTTTTGATAAACTGCCTTAAATTTCAGAAACATGTATTACATGTCATTAGTGGTTTCATTTGCGTATCTATTCAAGTGTAGCTTCATGCTTTATTCAGTGGTTGAGGATTGCTTACCTGTGTCAGTCTGTTGCACAATTTGTCTTAAGGCAAACTGGCTTCCAATTCCTTTTGCTCATTTTATAAATATAATAAATAATCCTGGAGTCACTTGACTTGATTGGGTTTCTGTTACTTTTCTGCACTTCCATGTAAATCATTTGCCATGTAGATATGTTATTCTCTCTAAAATGGTGATTGATCTTGTTATTTGGAGCACTGTTGTACTGTCAATTATAGCTGTACATCTAAACATAAGTATTATTAGGAGAAGAAAGGAAATTTCAGTTACCCTGAACTGTCCAGCAGTAACAGCACAGCTCCAATAGAGGGCAGTGTAGCGCCATGCAGAGCTTCCTGTGCAACACCTAAAAGGCAAGAAATGCAGACCTGCTGTGCCCTGTCCCTTTTTGGATTATCTTCTTCAAGGTTGGGGGTGAATTGGCAGCGCTTTTTGAGAGCAAACGTTTAGGCAGCCCTTAAGTTACTGTTATGGAAGATTCAAGGTTTCCTCAAACATGCATGAAAGAACCAAAGCAACACTCCAAACGGTTTAGATGAGGGAATTACATCATAACATTACATAATGCTAAAAAAAAAAAAAAAATCAGTTTTACTCCATTTTAATACCATGACACATAGCATTTTAATCAGCATCATTTTTTATTTTCTTATATATTGCCATTTCTGACTAAAGAGTTCAATTTGATATTTCGAATTTAAGAATATTTGAGCACACCTTAGAATGCTGCTTAGTTGTTATTCTAAAATATTCCTCAGAGAGAATTAAATAAGAAATATTGACGGTTCTAGTAGAAAAAGAGTCGAGTCTATGCACACGTTTAAGCTTAGAACTGCACTGTTGCAGTCTGTCTTACTGCATTCTGTACACAATAGTATTGTGAAAGAGTCACAATCCAATATAGAAATGATTTGTTGAAATACAGTTTATAAGTGTGATAAATTAAATGAAATCATTATGGATTTATTATATAAATAATTAAATGCATCAATAATTTGTCAAGATATGCTGAAGCAGAGAACTCTGAAATAATTAAATGAAACAACCACTCAAAAACACCTAATGCTTTTGAAAAAATGAAAAAAAAGTGATACACTGTGCATTTCCAGTGTTATTTTTCTCACAATTTTAAATATTTACATATTGAGCTAATGATTTATCGAATTATGTCATTTTTAACCCTCTTTTTACGTTTGTTATAAAGAAATATGACATTGTTTCATCTCAGCATTACAGCCTTTACAACAAGGAAAGCAGCAACCAGAACAGAGTTCACACTATGAAATGATTTGTTTTTGCCAGGTCCCAGTCCATCTGCTGTTTTGTGAGGTAATTTTAAAGCATTTTTTTTTTTTTTTTCAGACTCAACTTAGCAAGAATCTCGTGTGGCATAACAGACACGGCACTGCTTTTGCTCACAGCTGTACCAGTGACAGCTTTTTGAGAATGAGCCAGCTTAAAGCTGCATCATGTGACTTTTAAAAAAAAAAAAAAAAAAAACATTTCTCTACATATTTGTTGAAACAGCCACTATGTCATGACAGTTTCATAACATAGTGTCACGAGTTTCACTGTGACTATCTGAAAGGGTTTTAGCACTGCCAATCATGCCTGCATGTGTAGGATATCAATCTTTTCACAGATTATCTATCTCATAACACACTGTCACGACATGGTGACAGTTTTAACAAATATAAAAAAAAATACACTGCACGTTTAACTGTAGCTGCTATGACATCACAGTCAGCAGTTCCATAGGTGTACGATTAGCTTGGAAGAACGTTAGAAGGCCACAGAACGTGTTATGAGAAAAGCAAACGGAGAACATGCGTAACATGTCCTCACAATAATGTTTGACATCTACTGCACAATGGTGCATTGAAGCTCTCACGTATAAATCACTGACTTATGTGTAGGAAAATGAGACTTTCAGCTGCTTCCATTCACCATTTGTTACAGAACTGCTTTACTTCTGGCTGAAATGTTCTGATGACAAAGATGTTAGTTGAAGATAAAGGGGAATGCTGACACCAGCCTTAGTGATGGTCAGAGTTGTATACTTACACAAATCACATCAGAAACTACAATTCCCAGTACTAGCTGGATTTGAACTGAATTGATTTATTTATTTATTTTAACAAGTGGTCATCCTACCCATATAGGGAATTAAATTATGGCTTTCAATAGACTCCTTTCAAATTGCTGGTCAGGAACTGGTCCCCAAACTCTGATGCCTCATAGGATATGCTTGTTTTTTGTTGTTGTTATTTTTGTTTATTGATATAAATTTGTTATAAAAGTATTACTGATTGCACTTTAAAAATCAGGTAACTTTATCTTATTAAAGGTAAAGTTTAAACAGTAATGATTTCTTGATTAATGTCAAGTTGTCATAACAAAGACATTTTGAATAATGTCAACTTTGTATTAAAAGTGTCATAATTTACCGAATGACGCTTTATGACAACAGTCATATGTATTCATGAAGGCTTATTCATGTTCATGACATGTGTTATGTCATGTTTATGAAAGTGTCATGGCAGTCTTATTCACCCCCCTTCAAATAAAGTGTTACCAACATTTTTTTTACCATTTCATTACATTATGTTCTATTCAAAGTGTTATGTCATGATAAAAAAAAAAAAAAATAAAAAGCTAAGACTTTATACTTTCAAAGAGATGACGACAGAGTGGAGTTTTACTCTACAGCAACATGTCTATGGACACGTACGCCGATTCTATAAATCTGAAGTGTTTAGCTTTCGCCCTCGTCCAGGAGTCGGTTGTTTATCTGAAGCGCACAATAAATGCCCCTCTCATCCACATCCTCCATCTTGCGATGCTTCTCTCTAATCTCTTTAATCTGCAGTAAACTTTCCTACCACTTTATAACATTATCTGAAAGATAAGATGAAACATGACTTTTCTCTCGTGGCCTGCATGTCTTAGAGCATGTTTCTCTCAATGTCTGCAACAGCGCAATCGGCATCAGCCATCAGGAGAGTTAGATGCGCCGTGGTGTATCTGCTGATGGGAGAAGAAAGGCAGCTGCTCTGCTGGGTGAGCAACATGAGGGATCCAGTTACAATATCCGAGGAAGTTTTGTTGAGAGCTCCCATGGGGAGATGGAGGCCGCGTTAAACCTCCTTATCGTCCCCAACAAATTTACGAGACAGTCACGGCATATTGGAGCGCAGACAAAGACTGTCTTTGTGGTCAGGGTTACTTTTCTGCTCATCTGCAGGAGAGATCTGCTTGTTTGTTAAAGCATCATTGACCACCTTGAAGTGAACTTCAGTGCAGTGTGTGCAGAGAGCACATCAGACCACCAAAATAGCACAGTGAGCAAGGCATGACTCACTTTTAAGATGAAGATTGATCCTCTTCAGAAATACTTCCAGAAGTTACATCACATCATTCCTTCAAACCACAAAATTGTACATTCATACCAGCTACTGATTTCTTTTCTCGTACCGCATAAGTTCGTAACATTTTTGATAGGTATGTATCTTTTTTTTTTTACTAACAAAAACTGCTTTGCTTAAAGAGTTCAGTGACATCATGAGGATCGAAGACCTTGTGGAGTTTACTGTTCTAGTCCTGCTAGGGCTGTTCAGCAGACGTGAGTCACATCTGCATGAACAAGCTTCATAATTTGGTGGGAATTTCCAGAACTGTTGTCGTTTCATAATCTGCTGATCTAACAAGAGAGGAACCCGAAACGTATGCTTTGGGTTCCTTACTTTTTGGTTCATGCAAATAAATTATATAATTTATTTGTTTATTTGTTTGTTTGTTCATTTAATAAGATCTCCAATCACATTTCTGCAGACAACATTTGACTTTACTTGTTCTTCAAGATTCCCGAGTTCTCCCAACTGTCTGAAATACCTGAGCGGCTAAAATTCTGGAATTAAATTTTGCTGTAGAGCCAAATTCAAAGAATGTCGCTGCTGCTTCCAATCATCAATGACGTCAAAGTCTCTTAAAAATAACTTGTTCAAAACTTTCCTGATTTAAAATGATTTTGAATCAGGAACTTGAGATTATTTGTACTAGTATTTCCCTTTTTGACTTCATCCAGACTATTGTAACCCGTTTTTTTTTAT